TCAAAACTTTCTTCTTTACACAGATTTAATATTGCCAATATGCTTTTAAACATTTAACAGTTAAAACATTCGCACAGATTCTGTATTGTAATGCATGAATGAAAGTCTACAAATTTGCTTGCAGTTTATGATCACAGAAAAATAGTAAAAATCTAAGTTGCCGCTTTAAAATATAATAATTTTAAATACACTCTCCATTCATTATGTAGAATAAATAAGTACACCTATGTGTCTCAAATTGTTACTATACATTTTTGCATACCTTGAAAGTTTTACTTGTCAGAAAGTATCATCAATAGTTATTTCATTGGACTGTAAAAAGAAAAATTTAAAGTATGGAAATAATTAGCAATTCAAAATTATCACAAAAATTAAAAACCATGTAAGCAATAAAAATTTGAAATGACAGCTTTTTCCATGTTCAAAAAAATACTAGTACATAAAAATAAGGATTGCAAGCCAAAATGAAATAGTACAAAATTTTTAGCAAATATATAACATCTACTATCATTTTTACTAAATTAAAGTCCTGTATAAAATAAAATTATCCAAAAATAACGAACGATGAATACCAAAATGAGAATCACATAGTTTCATACAAGTTATAATTAACAAATTCAAGCAATGTTATTTTTTATTTTATTTTTAATAACGTGCTGCATTTTTTATTGCTGCAAATATTTCAAATTTTTACAAAATTAGTTGGCAAGTAAAAATTTATTACATATGATTTACTTTTTACCTTTAACATTCTCAATCAATGTAACTTTTTATCTGACCAACTAATGAGAAAAATTTGTTCAAAACTTTTGCTTTAAGCAATTTCTAAATTGAATGAATGATACGCAAGACTGAACAGAGGTTTTATGTGCCTCTGGTCAAGATCTACTACAGACCCATTCCTCAAAATACAAAAATCCTATTTTCATATTTGTAGAATGTTTTGTAAAATTTATAGAATATTTGTAAAATACATAGAATATTTGCAGAATACTTTATACAAAACTCTTAATACAAAATTGCAGTTTTTACTTAGATATAAAAAACTTTCTTTGAAAAAACTATAATAAAAACTAAATTTAAAATTTTTTTTTTTTCGATAGAGCCCTAAGCAGACCCAACCCCAGAACTATGTCCTTCTCCATCACCCCTTGAATACCGCCATCAACAAGAGGACTGTGTGAGGCAACAAGTGAAGTACTAAAGTAAAAATTAAATAAATTTCATACAAAACAATTTATTATATACTCGTTATTCATGTAAAAAAAATTCATAGCCAACTTTTAAAGTTTTACAAAAAATTTTGGAAACATAGATATAAATTTAATTTATAAATAATCAAGATAGTTCATTAAAAAAATATCAGTCAC